ATCCCCACTTAACTATGAGGATATAGAAGCTCTGGGAGGTTAAATAACTTGTTCAAGGTCAGTCATCTGGTCTCAGCAGAGTCTTCTTACTCTAAACTCCAGATTCTACCCATTAATTCATTAAGATGAGACTCTTTATGTCACTTGTTATCAATGGACCATGGTGCTCTGTAAATCAGTCGGCTTTCTCTCAGAATTCTGGGACCGTAGCTTGCAAAAATATGCAGTTTATCTCATGACTTTGCAGCTCCTCCCATCAAAGCCTGAAATGTACTTTTTCCTCCTCTTTAGCCTGAACTACGTGACTTGCTTTGACCAACAGAACGCAGCAAAATGATGCTGTAAGCTAGGTCTCAAGAGGCTTTGCATTCTTGTGATGGCAAGTTGCCATGTGAGCAAGTCTGAGACAGTCTTCTGAAAGACTCCCAAGTCGTCCTGCTGAAGGCGTCCTAAGGCAGTTAGTAAGCAGCCATTCTGGCAGCAGGTTGCAGGCGCATGACTGAGCCCAGCCAAGACCAGATGAACCATCGGGGTAGACCCAACCCAAATTGCTGATCTGCAGAAGTATGAGCTAAGGAAAGCTTCTATTTTTAAACCACTAAGTTTGGGGATGGTTTACTGCACATCAGAAGCTAAGTGACTCACCAGGGTGCTAAATATTGTCGCTTGACTGTTTAGGCACCCATGTGTTTGATCCCTCTCTCATCCTTCACTGTGATTACTGAAGAACTAATGTTCTTTCAGGGGTATCCAGTAAAATTGGATTTTACTTCAAATGTGTTCAAAGTGTCTCGTTGAAAATAATTCTGGAGCAGGGGACTATCCAAGTTTTGAGTCTCTCTCTTCTTTAAATTGAAAATTCTGCTCTGCCAAAGGTTAGGTAGAGTGCACTTTCCCTATTTTGATTTGCCAGTCATGTCACATTGCAGTAGCAAAGGGCTTCTTTGAAGGCAGAAAGGTCATGGCGGAAGGAAGGAGTGCATTGAGTGTCACAGAAGAATGTGCCTGGAAGTGACATTATGTGATTATTGCCTGCTCACTTCCGTGCTGTTTGCTAACCAAAATGGACAGAAAGGTGATAGATAAGCAGTGTAACTCCAGGTGTGATAAATTATATTCTAGTTGTATTAGGTCATATAGTTGCGCAATCATTGGCATTCTGGTTGTACTAAAATAATTCAGATTAAAGGACTTCCCTGGCGGTCCAATGGTTAAGACTGCACACTTCCAATGTAGGGGACGTGAATTCACTCCCTGGTCTGAGAAGCAAGACCCCACATGCTAAATGGCCAAAAGAAAAAATACTAATTTAGATTTTATATGCAACCAAATCATAGTGAGAAGGTTATGATATAAATGCCTTCACACTGCATTTTTGGTTTTCATTTTGTGTCTCTAAAAGTGAAGAGTAACATCAATGAACACAAGTGATTATATCCTTGACTTAATAATTCTTCTGGCTTGGGTAAGAACATTCAAAAATGAAGGCAAATTTCCTCTGAGGTTATTTGAAAAAAAAATGGGAATATCTGATTTGGCTTTATTTATTATTTAGAGACTCAGCTTTTTTTTTAATTCATGAATTTATTAAGGAAGTATTTACTGAGTACTTCCACTCTCCACTAAGTACTGTGAAAACAGGTAAGATATAGTACCTATAGAAAATTACTTATAGAACATTATAGGATACATTCATTATTAAATATGGTAATTACAACACAAAAGAACCAAATAGAATATTGTTTGAGCAAGAGATTAATTTGGCTTGTAGAAAACAGAAATAAAATACAAAGATAAAATAATACTAGCTATAACATTTTGAATTGGCATTTCTTTTTGAAATCTCTGATTCATAGACTTGTTTATTCTGGCTTTGGGGGAAAAAATTCACCATATGTTTATCGTCAGTACAGAATATATACCATTTCCTCTAGAGCACTGCCCTGAAATTGCAAGGGGTCATTTTCCAGCTGGTGTTGCGACTGGCTTTTCAGTAGGTTGTAGTGTCTGAGACAAGCTTTTTCTGGATGATAGGGTGCATGCAATTAAATCCAATCCCACAGGCATCAGGTGGTCTTCCATTTGTTTTGTTACGTTTTGGATTGGAAGCATCATTGTGTTTGTGATTGGAAGCATACCATATTAATGTTCTAAGACTTTTAACTGATGCTGACAGAAGCGTGTTTAGCAGATAAAGAAAGCTTGAGTCCAGTGTAAGTGTTGTTGAGAATGAGGGTAAATCATTGGCTCTTCTATAATTGATGGGATCCAATGTAATCGCCTTGCCACCAGGAAACTGGTTGATCTCAGAGTATAGTACCATGCTTGGGACTCCTAGTGGTCACTGCTGTGGATGAATTTAGAGTGAATCAGACACTCAACCAAAAGTGGTTAACAGGCAAGCACCCCCCTTTTTTTTAAGTTTATATATAGTCATCATCTCTGTTACTGTGGTCACATTTTTAGAACCACACTGGGGACCTTGGGCCAGTTGACAGAAATTGGTCAGTTGAAGAGAACGGACTTGTGGACACAGTGAGGGAAGGAGAGGGTGGGATGAGCTGAGGGGGTAGCATGACATATACACACCACCATGCATACAACACCTAGTCAGCAGGAAGCTGCTCTAGAGCACAGGGGGCTCAGCTCGATGGTCTCTGATGACCTAAACGGGCGAGCTGGGCGGTGGGAGGGGGCTCAAGAGGGAGGTGACATGTGTATACGTGTGGTTGGTCCATGTCGTTGTAGCAGACAGCAGAAATTAGCACAGCACTGTGAAGCAGTTGTATTCCGATAAAAATAGATATTCGAAAAATAAATTATTTTACATACACACACACACACACACACACGACTCAGAATAGGTGTTCCTGTTAATTAAGGGCCTCTTTGGCAGTGAGGTCTTGAGGCCCAGTTACAAGTGGCATATTAATCTATATCGCTCCCAAATTGCCTTGCCAGCAGTCTCCTTCTTTCCAAGGGATGGATGGACCCTGTGTTTACAGATCTATGTGGGTCATTACTTCTGCGTGAAAGAAAAGTGAAAGTGAAATCTCTCAGTCATGTCCGACTCTTTGTGACCCCATGGACTGTAGCCTACCAGGCTCCTCTGTCCATGGGATTTTCCAGGCAAGAGTACTGGAGCGGGGTGCCATTTCCTTCTTCAGGAGATCTTCCCGACACAGGCATTAGAACCTGGGTCTCCCTCATTGCAGGCAGACGCTTTACCCTCTGAGCCGCCAGGGAAGTCCCGGTGGTACTTCTGCATATTTCTTTGCATTGTAGCCTTTACATTTCTGCCTCCCAGGGATATTTCTCTTTCCTGAACTCTTTCACATCCAGTCCCCCTCTGAATGTGATTTTAATGCCATAGCTCTCCACGTTCTCTTGTGGCGAAACTTTCCGTAAATCTTAAGTGTGTAATAGTTGCAGACAAGTTTCTCGGTCTCAGCATTATTGTTTACTCTAGGTTGGATCATTCTTTCTTGTGGGTGAGATGTTTCTGTGCATTTTAGGATGTCTAGCAGCATCCCTGCGTTCTACTCACTAGATGCCCACAGCACACCTTCCCCCAAGTCGTGACAACCAGAAGTGTAGCTGAACATTACCAAGTGTGCTTGTGGGAGGGCAAGGTTACCCCCAGTTAAAAATAACTAAGGTAGGGTGACAATGCAAAATCATTTGACTAGAATGGTTCCATTTCAGGTCTGCTGCCCTGGCCTGCTTTTTAGCTCAAATGTGTCCCCGTTTCTATGAGAAATTATAGTTGCTCTAGTCGTAAGAGACTCCCCATGAGATCAAACGTGTAGGTTGATGGAGGGGTGGTTGTGTGCCAAGAGAAGTCATGCTGTGGATGTGAGACATCTGCTCATGGGACTTTCTCATGCTTCAGGAACTGCGTGGGTCCAGTCCTGCACACACCTCCATCTGATGAAGGTGTGTGCTGATGTGCGCATCTGACTTCACACCTCAGGGACTGTAGATAATGCACAGTCCAGGACATCTGCCTGTTTGCACAGGCACACAAATTAAGCCTCAACCAGAGCATAATCTCAGGCAAGAGTATTTTTCCAGGTAATACTTTGTAAAGAACAGAGGGGATTCATATTCATAAAATCCCAAGAATTGTACTTTTCCCATCAGGGTTGTCACAGACCCCAGAGAGCATCCCTGTCTTCCACGGGTTCAAGGTGGCCTGGCTTCAGCTGAGCTGTGAGCCAAGTGGCAGGGCTGCTCGCGTTGCAACTTGGATCAGCTGGAAGCTTCCTCTTGCTCTTGCGCTTACTCAGCACTGAATGTTTTTAATAACCTGGCAAATAGATTGGAAAAGCACAACTAAATATGGTATATGTTGCCTATAAAACCCACAAGTCCACTTTGCCTCCTTTTTAGTGATGATAGGAAATGCAAGATTCAGGACCTTTTCTCCTAAGAAAGAATATCCTGGCTTGCCCCAGATCACTGCATCCCCAGAAATTAAAAGCATTCTGCATTTGTAAGGAGTGTATCTTCTCAGAACTATTGTGCCAGTGTTTCCAAGGCATTTGCTGTAGTTGCTATTTTTATCTTCCTAGTCTCATTCACATGATGAACCAGCATGATGTTTCCTGGGATGGTACAAAGATCATGGTACCTGAAAGTGCAACTGTAAAACAGACACAGAACATCAAAACGATTTTAAGTCTGAAGGGTAAAGTTGTTTGGCTCTTTCTGCTTCATAAAAGCAATGGATCCAGGTGTCTCTTCTTTTGGGGGTAAGACTAAATAATTGGTTAGATTCATAGCAGCATGCTGGTTACTATAGAATATTTCTTCCGGTAAGCAGATCGTATCGAGCAAACCAGTTGTAAGATGAGTCTCATCTACTTAAACATGAGACTACTGATTGTCACCCTTGAGAACTCATCTGTCTTTTGTGTCGATCAGATTGGTGAGTCAGATGGCTCTGTGAGAAGAAGCAACCCTGAAATCTTCATTGGTGGCACATGCCTCTCAGATTTCCCCAGGGATGTCATTATATCTGGGTTTCGCTTTTCATACAGAAATGGAGTTCTAGAAACTTCCATGCAGCTTCCTACCAAAATACACCTTCCTCCATGGGTCAGATTACAACTGTGACTATGCCAATTGCTGATGATAACTAGTCTCCAATATACTTGGGAACCAAGGAAATACACATGATGTAGATGAAGACCCAGCTGGGACTACTTTGAGGTACACTCAAGTCACAGTCTATTTAATACTTGACCTCTGTAAAGCCCTCATTAGTTCCTATGAATCACGATGACACTCTGGGTCCCTAGGGATAAGCTTTGATTTAAACTGAACTTCCCACAACCTCCTCGTCTGGGTGAAACTCTTTACTCAATGCCCACTCTGTGTGGCTAATGGCTATAAGACCCTTTGAGGAAGGTGAGGAGGAAGATTCAAGGTAACTATCTATTGTGTTATTACAGAATCCCTCCTCCTGGATATCCAGCCTTTTCTTAGAGATCTGAACCTGGCAAGTAACTCGAGTATAAAGGGGTTTTATGTGGATGGTTCAGGTATTGCTTCTGATGGACACAATATTGGAGGTTATGAATCTCAAGCAGAATGTCAGCGGGCTGCCTGCCCTCCCTTTCCTCCCACACAGAACACCATTATCAATCGTCAATAGCCATATATTCCTATGGTTCAGACCACTGTCATCATCGTTTTATCCCACTGTTGTTTATTTTAGCCATGCACACCTTTCCCCTCAGGCAGTTACGCCTTCCTAAACAGTTATACCACCCAAGCATCCTCCAACACTACTGAAAGGCAAGCGGTCAATTTCAAAATCAGCGTCTTCTACCAGCAACTTTAAGAATATATGATAGCAATGCTGGTTTTCTCTCCTCCCATTTCTTGAATACTCGATGAGGGGAGTTCCTTCTGGTCCTTTTTATAGGATTTTGTAGGATACATTTAGGAGTGAGTGAAAAGTTTGTATAAAATAAATCGACTCCCTCCTTTCTGTCTCCCAGCCTTTTTGATCACTAAGTGTTAATTTTGTTACAGTTGTATCCATAAACTTTTTAATATCCACATGGTATAAAATGCTTATGACAAAAATTAGCTGTTCTTTTTCTCACCCTCCCTACCTTTTATTCCTTCTCTTTTCAGGTTGGAGAAGCATGGCTGGGAAGTCATGGAGGCAGAGACCTACACCCATCCCCCTGCAGGAATCACTGCTTAGCAAGCCATGCTAGGGCATTCACCCCTGGAGCCACGTCACCACAGCTGAAAATATCACTGAAGCGGTGGCCACAGACCATGCACCATTGAGCTCTGCTGAAAAGGGTAATTGCTGCTTTGCTATTTGACTTTCAACTACATATGGCAGTCTAGGCGACTCGTCTCCAACTGACCCTGTGCTTTTACATCCTACCCTAGAGATTCAGGTTCACAGGTGATAGCTGTGGACAGACCAGGGTTAAGAAATGTATCTATATTTCCTATGCTAGGGGTTGGTGAAGGGAATGTCTCTTTTCTGGAACTTATAGATGGAAGGACCCTGCCTTCAACTCATGTTGAGATTTACCTGCTGGGAGGCAGTGATGTATGTGTGCATGAGTGCTAAGTCCCTTCAGTCGTGTCTGATTCTGTGCAACCCTGTGGACTGCTGTCCACGAGGCTCCTCTGTTCGTGCGATTCTCCAGGCAAAAATACTGAAGTGTAGTATTTCCTTCTCCAGGGGATCTTCCTGACCAAGGGATTGAACCCGGGCCTGTTACATCTACCTGCATTGGCAGGTGGGTTCTTTACCACTAGCACCGCCTGAGAAGCCCCATGATGTATATTCACAGTAAAAGGTTAACTATGTTCCTTTTCTTTTCCCCCCAGTTTTCCCTCTGGCTGGGTGGAAATGTGGACAATAATTAAAGAGACTTCGTGGCTATTAACCCCTCTTCCTCACACTGATGAATTAGTATGAACCCTGAGAAAGTATGGAGTCTATCCCTCCCATCCAGGCAGTGCTGTGATCTTAGACTGAGAAGGGTGGGTTTCAGCTGGTATTTGGCAACAATTGCATATTTCTTGTCTGGAAGAATTTGATAGTGGCCCCAAACTTACACCTCCGGAGGAAATGGTTTCCTTTTAGTCATACACACCCTCGGGAGAGAGATAACTGGCCAGGACAGTCTGGATCCATGGCCCTCAACCTCCCACATAGGGTTTGGAAACAATATTGGCTGTAAATCACCTTGCTCTCTCACCAAATAATCTAGATATCCCTCTTGTAGCTAAACCCAGAAAGGCAAGAGGCGTCTGAATTGGCTTCAGCTTCTGGCTTCTCACATGCTCACTACTGAGGCATATAAAGAAACAGAAACAGCCTTAGAGAGTCTAAGGGCTGTTTGGCTTTAAACATCTTTTATTTTCTAATTGCATTAGAGTAAAAACAGTAGTTAAAATATACCCTTGGCTGTTGTCATGAAAATCACAATAACAAATTAGCCTAAAATAGCCAGTTTTCTGTGGTTTCCAAGGATACTGCCACAGTTAGAATTGTTGCCTGCCAATCAACTTGTTTCTAATTTTTGGGGGACATTAAAACAAAACCATGGAAGGGGAAGGGCTAGAGGAAAAGTTGTTCTTGCTACATATGTGTTAGAAGAGAAGGGGGAAGGTTTCTAAAGCAGAATGTGTTGATTCTTTTCATATCAGTTTAAGGAATATGGCTAAACCAACTCTGGTCCCACGGAAGTGGCTTAGTTGAAAGCAAAAGCTCACAGGTGCTGTTTTAAATAGTCAAAGTGGCTAAGTCCTCTAACTAACAGGACTGTAAAATCTGGCTCCTATTTTGTTTCAGTTCAGCTTTCATTTATTGGGTGCTCTGCCAACAATCTCTTATTAACTGTTATTAACTCATAGCTACCTGAGGAGGATGTATGTTAGACCCTTGTTATTTGGCCCCCTAAACATCCATTCCACCTTTTTTGGGGCACTAATTCCTTACTTCCTTTTAGCAAGTTACATTTTCCCCATTTTATACTATCCAGTTCAACAGTTAATTAAGATGCTATAGCCGTGTTAGCACTGTGAACCCAATCAGGCCACTCACAGTTAACCCTGGGTAGATCAATCTTCAGCCAAGCTTTATAGTTACTGAAAATTAGTTAGTATTTGTTTCGTGGCAGTTCTCAGATAACAACGTTATCTTATTTCTTGTGCTTCTTTGTTCATTCTGTAAAGTATTAAAATCCTTCTAACAAGTGTGCATTTCTGCTTACATTAGCCAGAACTCAAAAGTAATGCCAAGTGTTATTATTCTCATTTTAATTTGAGAAAACTGATGCTCAATTAAATTAAATCCTTTGTCCAAGGCTAGTCAAGTGATGATGGAGTCTGAATTCAAACTCACATGTACTTCTCTCTCCTAACTCCGCCCCCACCATCTATTTCCTCTTATGTGAATTAATAACTTATTTTCCCTGGCTCTATCTCAAGTCAAGGACTTTCTTTTTCAACAGTGGAATCAAGGGTGACTCTTTAGGAGATCATTGTTCACACTTTCTCTTTCTTGATATGTTGTGTTTTTATGTGTATTTGATGATTTTTCTCTGCCCGTTCTTTTCATCTGTGTAAGGGGTAGTGACAATGATTGTCTCAAGCACTGGGATCTCCCACACATTCTTTCAGGCTGTGGGAGGATATCTCTTTCTCTTCCCTTTCTTTATCTTCCCTTCTCATTTCTTTCTTTCTTCCAGAGTTCCTGTCAGAATGGAAGAAGAAATGGGAATGTTTGAAGTGGAGAATATTGAAAAGAGCATGGGCTTAAGAATCAGGCAGAGCTAGGTTTATATTTCTAGCCCATGAATGTCTAGCATATTATTGGGGAAATCATGACATAGTTAGGAGCAGTTTAAGTCCACTATAATGTTTTGTGGCCAACTTAGAGACCCAGGATGATAGCTGTGTTTGGAGGGTGATGCTTCAGCTGTCTGACTGCTGCATCTGGTCTGCCTTGACAGCACCAAGCGCCCTGGAGTGTCGCTGCCTTTCCAAAGGCCCTCTGTTATTTGGAAGAAGCCAGATTGAAAGCATAGCCTCTTCCCTGCACAGGTAGATCTGCTGAGGCGGGTTGCAGGCATAGCTGTGAATATTACTACTCTCGAGTTTTTGTGCCAGGTGAATCTGGTGACCAAGCTAGAGGCACCAGGAACTCTAAGGTTTGCCCCTCAGCCACTTGCCCTTTGGTTTCTGGAATGCCGAACCCAGAGTGTTGGCCAGGCCTCCTTGGGTTCCCTTCCTGCTCCCCCCCGCCATTTTTTCTTTTAACTGTTTGGCTCCACAGTGGGTTAGTGGCAGCTGGTAGGGATATTATTTTATCTTATACTTTTCTTCCTGAAGTTCATTTAAACTTCGGGTGAGTGGCTAACACCTTTCACTAGTTCTGTAGTCATGTACTATTAGATTGAATTTATTTCACTGAGGTTTTGGGAGCTGTGAGCTATAAATTTGGATTGAGGTCACTTGCATTGATGATATACCTCTTAATCCAAAGTTCTTTTCTTATTATTGAGCTTGTTTCTGAAATTAGAGAAATGAATACAATTACATGCATGTGAAAAATCCTAAGACATTCCTTGCTGCTCAGTTAATCCTAATTTTCCTTCCTTACCACCCTGCATTGTCCTCATCCAGGACATAAGCATCAGGATGGAAGGAAAAATGCAAATACTTAAATACACAGTATTTGAAGAGAGCATGACTGTGGGTGCCAAGCAGAGAGAGCTTTAAAGTCTAGCTCCACTTATTTCTAGCTTATTTCAGGGGGAAATGACTTTTCTTTTATGAACAGCAGTATTCTACTTTATTCTACTCTAAATTGTAACAATACATACCTTTTGGTATTGTTTTTAGCGATAAATAATATTTATTATTGTACACTGCACAGAATAAGCAACTCTGTGCAACTCTATGTAAGTCAACAGTAGATATGTGAGTCAAGCCAAAATTTGCCAGAAACCTACCCCTCCTTTGGGCTTCCCAGGTGGTGCTAGTGGTAAAGAACCCACCTGCAATTACAGGAGATAGAAGAGACACAGGTTGAATCCTTGGGTTGGGAAGATCCCCTGGAGAAGGACATGGCAACCCCTCCAGTGTTCTTGCCTGAAGAATCCCACGGACAGAGGAGCCTTATGGGCTGCAGTCCATGGGGTCAACAAGAGTTGGACACAACTTCAGCAACTTGGCACGCACGCATGCACATGGGCCCTAGGGCATGCAGCCTTAAGTAGTCGCAGTCCTGGCCCTAGAGCATGGACTCAGTAGTTGTGGCAGGAGCTTGGTTGCCCCACACCATGTGGGATCTTCTCAGAACAGGGATATTAACTCGTGTCCCCTGCATTGGCAGGTAGATTCTTAACCCCTGGACCACCAGGAAAGTATTGAAGAATCTCTATCCTTACATCTTTTCCCTCTGAATATGTACCAACTGACTTACTTCCATAAGGACTGATTACACTGGATTACATGATTACATTGGACACACCCAGAAAATTCAGGATAATCTTCTCATCTCAACATCTTCATCTGCAGTATCTTTGAAATATAATGTAACCTATTCACAAAGTCCCAGGATTAGGACATAGACATCTTCCAGGGGTGGTATTATTTAGACTTTCACAGTATGTTACCTTGTAGCAGTTTAATCCTTCTCTTGATAAAATTAATGTGTTTTTACCCCAGATTTACCTTGTTTAATATTAAGATCATGCCCAAAGCTTTCTTGTTTTGGTTTCCAGTTGTCCTTCTGCCGTGTCTACTTTTTGATGTTTAGACTGTCTGATCATTTGGTGTAGGTGTCTCTTACATATCACACAGAGAATTGTGACTTACTCTGTCATTCTACCTAAAAATTTATTTTCTTTAATAGCCCATTACATCATTGTCAATATTGTCAATTTTCTTTTTTATTTTCTGTAATTGAGAAATGTCTGTTTGCATTTTATTTTGCAGTCCTTTGGCTTATTCTTAATTCTCTATGTAGATACATACATTTAGTGTTCACCATTGGTCATCTCACTGAAGATTTTATCATTTAACTCCACATTCCTCAAAGTAGCAGGTAGATACAATATTTCCTGAGACTTTGCAAAGCCAAATTGCCTGTAGCTATTACTACTTAGCAGAATATAAAATTCTTGGCTCACACTCTCTTTTCTTTAGTTGGAAGGTGTTGTCCTGGTATCTCTCTAATATCTGATGGTTAACTCAATTTTATTTCTCTCAGAATAATGTGATCTTTGTACCTCTGTGGTCTTTCTTTATCTTTCAGGTTTAATACATTTGAATTATTTTTGTGTTGAATTCTGGGGCATCATTTTTTCTTCAGACTACAGTATACTCTTACTGTATGTAGATTAGAAATCCCCTTTATTTTAGGAATATTGGCTCGTTTAAATATTTGCTCTGTGCCCTTGTTTTGACTTTGTTCCTTCAGGAATCTCAAGCCCCTGTGTTGGCCACTTTGTATATTACTCTTCTGTCTCTCAAGCATTCTCCTCTTTCTTCAATGGGTTCCTTCTCTATTGTTGTCTCTGTTCTCCTGGTCTTTCTTTGCAAGTGTATTTCTTTTTTCTTTTCTATTTTTTTTTTATTTGTTGAAATACAGTTGCTTTAGTTTCTGCTGTACATGAAGTGAATCAGCCATGTATATAAATGTATCCACTGCATCTTGGATCTCCCTCCCACTCCCTGGTCTCAGCTCTCTCAGTCATCACAGAGCACAGAGCTGAGCTCCCTATGTTAGGAGCACCTTCCCACTCACTATCTGTTTCACACATGGTAGTGTATATATATCAAACTTAATCTCCCAATTCACCCCCCCACCACTGTGTCCACATGTCCATTCTCTACATCTGCGTCTCTAGTCTAGCCTTGCAAACAGGTTCATCTGTACCATTTTTCTAGATTCCACATATATGTGTTAATATGTGCTGTTTTTCTCTGACTTACTTCACTCTATATGACAGACTCTGGGTCCAACCATGTCTCTACAAATGACCCAATTTCATTCCTTTTATGGGTGAGTAAAATTCCATTGTATACACATATATATACAGCACATCTTTATCCATTCATCTGTCAATGGACATTGAGGTTGCTTCCATGTCCTAACTATTGTAAATAGTGCTCCAATGAACATTGGGGTGCATGTGTCTTTTAAAATTATGTGGTTTGGGGGGGGGTCAGCTTTCTTTTGTCCCTTGTTTTCTTTTAAATGTGGTTGTCATTCTTAATTTCTATTATTTTTTGTTTCCATTTCTCTTTTAAATTATTATCAGCTTCCACTTTACCTCCTACTTTTGACTGGCCATCATCTCTTTTTACATGGTTATTATTTTCCAAGGTTTTTATATTTCTGTTTTGTGGTCTCCTCCTCATAGCTGAAATTTTTTATAAAGTCAATTGTTGTTATTGTTCTTTTTCATGTTGAAATGTTGAGTTACATGTTTTCTCTGCTGTATAGTGAGAATCCTCTAAAGAGATGTTGTCCTCATTTTTAGGTGGTTCTCTTATGGTGTCTATAGGTATGTTATACCTTAAAAAAACTTATATAGAATTATTAAATGTGTTGAATTTTCCTTACCTAGCTGTTATATTAGAGAAGCTTACCTAAGTGGTTTCTTAATCAAGATTGCCTTTTTTTTTTTCCTTTCTTTTCTGTATGGCACCTTCTGCCTTAGATCCTAACCTGGTTTGAGACGGCTTCTACAACCTTTCCTGAATTTTCTAAATTCCTTTTACCAGCTGCTATTTCCACGGAAGACTCCCACTGCCTTCCAGAGCTTCCTTCTCTCTTTTAGAAGGTGATCATTGCTGACAACTGGCACCTCTGGGCCTCCTGGAAACTTACTATGTCATATCTCTCCCCAAAATTCTCATGCTTTGTTCATTCACAGCCCAGTTCACAGCAGTTCTGAGTCAGGGTTTGACCTCTCTTTCAGTAGATAGATGTCACCGAGCGATGCCTGGAACCTTCCGTGACCAGGGCCCTATCTGTTTTCCCTGTCCACTTGTGCCCTAACTCTGTGGCTTCTTGTGCTGTTTCTCTTGCATTCAAGAGCTTTTGAACTAGTGGTCACCTAACCTGGAGGTTACAGAATTGCTCTGCCTCTTAACTTTTCCATCAATGTATTTTGGAGAAGAAATGGGAAGTTGAAAATTAAGCTTCCACCACACTAAATTCTAAATATACGTTATCCAAATAATGCCTTGACCTTTCATTAGAGTCAATCCATTGCTCAGTATTAAAGTTGTTTTTATGAAAGTCTGTAATATTTAAGGGAAACATTACTTGCCCTCAGAGACAAACCATAAGATCTTGATGGCTTAACACAGTAGAAGCTGATGTCTTGCTCCTGTGAAGTTCACTGGTGTGAGGGCATGCCGCAGCAGGCAAAGTTAGAGTCAGTCATCCAGGGACTGACTTGATAGAGCCTTTGCCATACCGAACACCTGGATTCCAAGCTCACCCCAGGTCTTGGTGTTTAGTTGGAAGATGGAGTAGAGATAAAAGCTGGAGGTTCTTGTATGCGATTTTCGTGGGCAATGTATGAAAGCACATAAATGGCTTCTACTTTTTACCAGTGGCCATGTTCAAGTGTAGAGCCACATCTAACTGAAAGTGAGATTGAGAAATGGAATACTGTCCTCTCCCCAAGAAGAAAAGGAATTAAATCTGGTAAGGGGCTAACTTATCTTTAGCATAAAGTATCTGTCTCTTTCCCCAATTTACCAGCTTTGTCAAGACAGGGCTAGAGTTTTACTCATGATTACCCTCCACTTGTGTGCATGTGTGCTCAGCCAATTCAGTCATGTCCAACTCTTTGCGACCCCATGGACTATAGCCCGCCAGGCTCCTCTGTCCATGGGATTCTCCAAGCAATCATACTGGACTGGGTTGCCATGCCTTCCTCCGGGGAATCTTCCCAACCCAGGGATTGAACCTGAGTCTCCTGTGTCTCCTGCATTGCAGGGGGATTCTTTACCACTCAGCCACCAGGGAAGCCCAATCCTCCACTTAGCCTAGCTTAAATAACAGGCACAGTGAACATCTGTGCAATTTAATGGAATTGAATTTGCATCCTGCAACTTTATCTGAATTATTTAAGAGTTCTCTAATGTTGATCATAGCCCATTCATGTCTACCTGGGACTTGCAATGGAAAGGGTGAAAATAAATCCAGAAAGAGATGACATATTGATAAAGTGAAACTTGTATGGAACAAATCCTTCCTTAATCTCTATAAACTGTTTCAAAATCCTGTTTTATTTTAATCTATCATGTCAAGGGACATATATGTTGAGTTAAATTAGATCAGATTGTAGTCTGTCATCTGACATGATCTTGGGCACCATCATGGAGAGAAAATCCAAGGTGACATTAGAATCACGACTAAATTTATGCTTGGAAGGTTTCAGATAGATAAAGCAGTGTGTGTGTGTGTGTGTGTGTGTGTGTGTGTTCAACATTAAAGGAACTTCCTGTCAGCATCTCTAATATTCATAATTTTTTTTGCTGTGACATTACCATCTAACATGGTGTGGCATGGCACAGAGAGTGTCATTATTTTTAACGCTATGCATAACTCATCATGTAACATAGGCCCAATATGGGGTAACTTCAGTGTGATAGCCTCTCTCTTCAAAGACTAAATGTAAACCATAAAAGTATAGAGCTTCTCAAAGAAATCACGATCTTTGGTTAGACAAAAAGTTCTTATATCAGATACCAAAAAACACAATCTAGTAAAAAAATGATAAATTGGACATAATCAAAATGTAATGTAGGGTTTCCTGGGTGGTTCACTGATAAAGAATCCACCTGACAAGCAGGAAACCCAGGTTTGATCCCTGGGTCAGGAAGATCCCCTGGAGAAGGAAATAGCAACCCATTCCAATATTCTTGCCTGGAAAATCCCATGGACAGAGGGTTTTATATACATATATAAATATATATATATGTATATATATATATAGCCATGAAAAGATACCCTCCATCATTATTTATTAGGGATTCCAAGTCAAAACCACAATGGGATACCACTGTACAAATATTGAACAGATGAAAAGGACATAGAAAAACCAAAAAATTATGAAAAAAAACAAATGTTTTCAAGAAAACAGAGCAACTGAAATTCTCCTATATTTTTGGTGGGAATGCAAAGTGAGAGCACCACAGGGGAAAACTGTTGGATAGCTTTTCATAAAGTAAAACATGTATTTACCATATGATTCAGTGACACCACTTTTAGTTGTTTCTGTATGCTGATTGTGATGGTGGATCCATGGCTCTAAACGTTTAGTAAAATTCACAGTGCTGCACAACAGTAATAAAATAAACTATGCTGTAGAATTTTTTGAAATATTTAAAAGCTTAAAAAGTAGAATTTTTCTTAAAAAAAAAAAAGAGCAAGCCCCTAATCCATGAGATGTTAGTTACCACAAGGTGACCTGTGCATTACTTCTAAAGTGATGGGGGCCTCTAGCCATTCTAGGTCCCCAAAGATGTAGGTAAGATTCACAAATGTGATTATTAGGGGGAAAAAAAACAGACACATCTTCATCAGAGAAGGATCACACCCCCAAATGACCCAGAGCCTTCCCTTCTGGGCCATAAACACAAGTTAGGAAGAAGGAGGACAGCTTTTCTGCCAAGAGATCGATTATGCTTAAATAGTAGAGCTCCACCCTCAGCCCACAAACATGTCATAATCAGAGAACATTCAAGTGGTAGTGGGAGTAGCTTGGTATTTGGAGTTGCTGGCATGAGAGTATTAGGGCTATTAAATACAGCTTTCTAGCTCCGATGGAACCCATTATTTGTATTTCTGGAGATTTTTTTTTTTTCCTGAAACTATCAGCATGTTCAGACCCAAAGCTAATATGTGCATTATGACTTTGCTGGGTTTCAAGACTTTTTCTCATTAAAAGACATTGATGTTGATTAAAAATTTTCACCAAATATCAAGTCCTGTTGCCATGGAATAATTTTTGGCTCCCATAATGGTAACCAGGGATTCCAAGATAATCATTCAAATTAATTTGAATAATTTGGAATGGAAAAGTTGATGGAGAGAGCAGGTTGCTTGAGGTGTCAAGCAACTTGGCAGTAGGCATCTACTGCCATTCTAACCTCCCCTTCCTATCCCTTTCTCCCAAAAGGCAGCGACTACAAAGAGAGGTGCTCAGCCCCTTCTTGCACTGGCCAGTGCAGGGCCTGTCTCCTGTGGCCCTCCCCTCCTCCAGCCCCAGCAGGAGATGGGTAAGCTCAGGCTGGTGCTACAGGCGATCTTCAGTGTCTTGGCTCTTCTTCAGCCAGGACATTTGGCAGGACCGCTGCTGTCCTGAACTTGAACTAGACTTGAGATACAGCCCTCCCTGGCTGAGTATTTTGGGGCTTCCCTGGTGGCTCAGTGATAAAGAATCCGTCTGCCGATGCAGGGGCCTTGGGTTCAATACATGAATCAGGAAGATCCCTGGAGGAGGAAATGGCACACCACTCCAGTACTCTTACCTGGAAAAATCCCATGGACAGAGGAGCCTGGCGGGCTACAGTCCATGAGGTTGCAAAGATTCGGACACAACTTAGTGACTAAACAACAACAAAGTAGAGTGTTTTAGACCCTTGTCCTTACTTTCATTGGCTTCAGGTTATCACCCATCTTGTGATGAGGGTGTGACCCCACAATGCACCCTTTTGCCTCTTCCTGCTGTTTGCATGCATACTCAGTCACTCAGTCATGTCTGACTCTTTGTGACTGCATGCACTATAGCCCGCCAGGCTCCTCTGTCCATGGGATTTTCCAGGCAAGAATACTAGAGTGTATTGCCATTTCCTACTCCAAATCCTAGGCAACCTGATCTCTGAATCACTTTCTCCTCTTAACTAGCAAAACTTTTCCTATCCTGTCTCAGGTACTGTTTGAATTCTTTAGGAATAATGATTGATCTGGGCTCCAGTCTGATTACTTACATGGAACTGAGCAGAGAGTTCTGTTCTAGACAGCACACTGTTGGGACAGCTTGAAAAATCTCTGTAAATATCCTTTTGGGGATGGATGGAGCGAAAGAGGGAAAGCTCTGAGTCCTAGTACTGAGCTCAACACAGTCCCATAAGTTGCTTCATTGTAATAATGAGGGTGTAGTCAGGGACGTTCAAGGCCCTCACCAGAGGATGTCAGCTTCTCATGTGAAACTGCATCTGGGAAGGTACTTGATCCCTGAGGCCAGCGACTGCTCCCATCCTTCAGCCATGTGAATATGGGCTGCTGATGACCTCCAGCTGCCTCCCCTCTGTGGCGAACTGACCTCAACCAACAGAAAACTGGCTTAAAGCTGGAGGTGATGTCCTGCCTCCAAACACAGGGGCAACCAGTGGGCATGAATGAGTGATATGAAAATTCACAACCCAAGCCCTCAGTCTTGTGATTTACACTTTGTGACTTTATCGCAGGTCACAAGCTTGTTTGGCTCTTTCTCCATGCGGTTCCTTTTCCCATCACTCTTAAAGGGTTTTCCTGAAGGACATTTCCCTCAGCAAATCTTGCAAACTCACATTTTTACATCAGGCTCTGCTTTCTCAGGGAGCCCTGACAAATACCAACTCCTTGCAGCTACTGCCAGCATCTACCTTCTCCAGCCTTGACGTTCATGTCCTTTCTGCTGCCATAGTTGTCAACAGCATGTTACTCCTGGATGTGGTCTGTTTGTCTTTCCTCTGGGTCAGATCTAGTCCCCTCAGGAGGCATCTCACTCAGACCAACCCAGACTCAAAGACAAGGTAATCTTCAGAGACCACGTGGAGAAGTCCGAGGAATAGGTAAAGGAGGCATTCTTCATTTTCAAGAGCAAGAAAAGAGAGGACATGAAACAAGTCTTTGTGGATAAACCCAGAGAGTAATCAGCACATCTAGGAGCTATTCTGGAAGGTGTCAATCCTGAGAGAAGATGATCTCAATGCGACATATAGAGAAAGGCTCCTGGTAGGCAAAGAAGATGTGCAGTTCCTTACAAATAAAAATACATCACGATTCCTTTTACATAAGGCACAGCAGGCTGACATTGTCTTAGGTTATTATTTATTGTGGATCCCTTCAAATCTCCACAAATCACCACTGATCCTTTAAGCTAGGCAGCCCTTCCAGATGAGACTTTTATTGATCTCTTTCCTTCCTCTTTCTCTGCTTCCAAACAAAATGTTCCTTCTCACCCCGTGCATCTTGGTGGTTGTATTTTAAGCCTTTGCTAAAGTGTTATATGGGTTTTGTATTCCTTACCCTTACATCCATCTGGACCTTCCTGAGCATGTTGTAATGACATATTTAGTACAGTGTGTGCTTAACTGTAGCTTGATGGGTCACTGGGGGAACCTAATTGTTGGCTTGTACATGTGTTTAAGAGACATCATTTAGATCAGGATCCACATAGCATTCTTCATGTTACCCTCCCTATTAGAAAACAGAAGACAGTGAGGGAAAATCCAGCATAAAAAACCAGGAAAATATGTTAGTAGGTTGGAGGCAGGTCTTCTCTGGAGGAAGATGTGTGGGAAAGAGAAAAGGAGGAGAGGTTCAAAACCTGGCATATCAGCAAGCAAGAAGCAGGAAACCTCAGCCAGTTATTACCCCAGTGACCAACACTCAAGAATTAAAACAAGTATGGAGTTTCAGATTCCATTTTTCCAACTGCTAACATGCTGTCTAGACCACTTTAGTATCCATCCTTCAACAGCAAGAAGATTATGAGTTTATGAGTATGTTTTTATGGTTGTCAACTCTTCATAATTATTGTGATAGAAGTATTTTCTTTTTCCCATATAAAAGGAATTAGTTCATCATTTGCAGATCAACAGAATTTGGAGAGATATTTCAGCAAAACAGTTGCATTATAATATCATTAATATATATCCTCATTACAGAAGCATAAATGTGCTTAATGAAATAATTACTCCAAGATGGACATTGGTCAGGACCATAGATAGAATGATCAGCACATATGCTTTGCTTGACTAGTGAATGAAAGGGGGAAAAAAAAAAAAAAATATATATATATATATATATATGTATTTGTTGTTGTTCAGTCACCTAGTCGTGTCCGACTCTTTGCAACTCCATGGACTGCAGCACCCCAGGCCTGTCTGTCCCTCACCATCTCCCAAAGTTTGCCCAAGTTCATGTCTATTATTTCAGTGTTACCATCCAACTATCTCATCCTCTGATTGCCCTCTTCTCCTTCTACAATCAATCTTTCCCAACATCAGGGACTTTTCCAGTGATTCAGCTGGTCACATCAGATGACCAAAATATTGGAGTTTCAGCAGCAGTCCTTCCAACCAGTATTCAGGGTTGATTTGCCTTAAGATTGACTGGTTTGATCTTGCTGTCCAACGGACTCTCAGGAGTCTTCTCCAGCACCATAGTTGAAGGCATCAATTCTTTGGCTCTCAGCCTTCTTTACCATCCAGCTCTCACAACCATCTGTGACCACTGGGAAGACCATAGCCTTAACTTTATGAACCTTTGTTGGCAGAGTAATGTCTCTGCTTTTCAGCACCCTGTCTAGGTTTTGTCATCACTTTCCTGCCAAGAAGCAAACATTTTCTGATTTCATGGCTGCAGTCACCATCCATAGTGATTTTAGAGCCCAAGAAGAAGAAATCTGTCACTGCTTCCATCTTTTTCCCTTCTATTTGCCATGAAGTAATGGAGCCAGATGCCATGCTCTAAGTTTCTTTAGTATTTAGTTTCAAGCTGGCTCTCCTCTTTCACCCTCATCAAGAGTCTCTTTAGTTCCTCTTCGCTTTCTGCTCTTAGAGTGGTATCATCCACATATCTGAGGTTGTTGATGTTTCTCCTGCCTATCTTGATTCCAGCTTGTAACTCATCCAGCCCAGCATTTCTCATGATGTGCTCAGCGTGTAGGTTAGACAAAGAGGGTGGCAGCAGACAGCTCTATTGTGCGCCTTTCTCAGTCTTGGACCAATCAGTTTTTCCCTACAGGGTTCTAACTGTTACCCTCCACACACCTCTGTCCATGGGGTTTCCCAGGCAAGAATACTGAGTGGGTAGCCATTTCCTTCTCCAGGGGATCTTCCCAGACCAGGGATCGAACTTGTGTCTCCTGCATTGGCAGGCGGATTCTTCCCCAGAGAGCCACCAGGGAAGCCCTCTAGCATCCATAGCAGCAAACTAAATCACATTTCCTTTTATTATCTTTTCCTCCTTACTCGACCCTCCCCTGTTCTCACTTCTTTTCCCTGGGTCACTCCTGAGTAATCTCTAGACACAAGTTCTTGCTAACAGGGATTGAGCAGAAGTGAGAAGAAAAGGAGAAAGTGATTTCACAAAAGCTAAAGGAATGGACAAATTTCAAGAAAGAGACAGTGATCAATAGCATCAAGAACTAGAGAGAGGTCAAGTAAAATGAGAATTGAAAAGAATCAAATTTAGTAATTGTAAAGTTACAGGTAACCTTGGAATAGAACTGTCAATGCAATGAAGAAAGTAGATTTTTCTTATGTTTTTGAAATTTGCTCAAAACTTCTATTCCTCTAGTTTTGAGCTACAAAATTCCTTTTAATTTCCATTTATAGGCTATAATCTAACATTTTTGATCCACTCAGAGAAGTCATCCATTCAATATTTCAGTAATTATGAAACACAATTTAACCATATTCTTTTTGTCTCCTACATTTTATTTTTCCCCTTTTATGATAAAAACATGCCGCTTTCTCAGGAGTTTCTCACCAGCCCACTTCTCTGACCTTATCTTATACTCCCTTCCAACTCCTTTTTTAAATCTGTGAACCCCTAAATGTTTGATTCCTCTGACTTTACACAGCAAACAATGACTAACTTCCAGTCTCATCAAAATTGGTTTTCTTGCCTTTCTTTGAGCATATAAACCATGCTTTCCTTCAAGGTATTATCAGTAAGCCTCCCTAAATTCTGGAGTTTGCTGTGCAAGTTAGATGGACATTAAAGGAAGCAAAGATACATTATTAATAATTTTGGTTCGTTTTGAACAACAATGAAGGTAGTAAAAATCTTGTCATTCATTAAAGGAATGGCACACTCAATAAGAATAAAAATTATTTTGTGGGGATGGGAAAGGCAGTCTCTTCAGGATTTTGTTTTAATCTTTAAGTTCACATAGTTTTTAATCTTCACAGTGTCCCAGGTGTTTTATATCAATGTCTGATTCACCCATGAATGCCTGGCATAGCCTCTCCTCTGTGTGTACACAGTCATTTCTATTGGCAATATGGGTAATTATTCTGATTATTGTGAGTGGTTCTGCTCAATAAACTATTATCCAGGGCTGAATAATTTTCTGGGCACTCAGAGTATGAAGTGAAGGGTATTCTGTGAGGAATCTCAAGATTGTTTTCTCTAAAGTCAAGATGGTGTTTTAAGCTTGGGATGTGGGTGCTTCTGACAGAGGGGTCTTGGGGGCTTCAGGTATCCTGTTAATGTGCTGATTCTTCATCTGAGTGCTGATCACATAGGGATGTTCCATTTTTTTAAATTCAGTCAGCTTTATAATTATAGTATATACATTCATGTATGTATCTCATTCTGCAATAGAAAGTTCAACAATTTAAACAACAAAAATGAAATCATAATGTTATCAGATGTAAATGTAGACAAATTCTTTTCAGAATGTAGGAGTCTTTTTAAACCATCACTCATAAAGCAGAAATCAGTTCAGAAATAGTTGATTATGTTGACTGCAGAAAGAAAACATACTAAACAATGTCAAAAGATAAATGTCATTGGAAAATATGTTCGCAACTCACATCACAACAAATGTCCAATCTCCTAGTTCATAAAGAACTTGTAGAAATCAGAGCAGGTGTGGGGTCTGCACAATTACTATTATCCTGGGGCAGCGAAATACTTGTCGCCTGACCTAGGACCAGCTATTATTACCAAAGTCTGTTAATAAAAATACCAGTATAGATGATAGTGTTGTTCATAATATGGTTGATACTGATGTCTACCTTTCTTGGTTGGAGAGTTATATGTGGGAATGTACAGAAAAGACCCTCATGTTCTCTGGCTCATGGAGATACCATTCTGTGCCAGGCACTAATATAAACGGGGTTACATTTTTTTTTTTAAACACTCAGTTTCTTAATATCTTCCACATGCTTCCATTTTTTAAACCCTAATCTTAGACGTTGGTTTTTATCTAAACTAAAAGAGTCAGTTTAAGGACTTGCCTGGTGGTCCAGTGGTTAAACCTCTGTGCTTCCACTTCAGGAGGCATGGGTTTGATCCCTGGTTGGGGCCTGCATGCTATGCATTGTGGTCAAAGAAAAAAAGACTAAAAAGGTCAATTTGGTTGCAAATTGGTCTCTACTTACATAGAAAAGTGAGAAGTAAAACTCAAAGTATGTGGTGACAGATAAGACATAATCTAGTAGCACTATATTAAAATACAAAAGGTAATAATAAACTTAAATCATGAAATGGCATTTGTGTCCCATAAAGGGAAAAGAAGATGGACTGAGCATTAAAAAACTATTTGAAGAAATAATAACTAAAGTAGTTCTAGAAATAGACTACCATATGACCCAACAATCCCACTATCGGGAATATACTCTGAGAAAATCATAATTGAAAGAGACACATGTACGCCAACATTCATTGCTGCACTTTTTACAATAGCTAGAACATGGAAGTAACCTAGATGTCCATTGATAGATAAATGAATACAGAAATTATGGTACATATATACAATGGAATATTGTTGTTCGTTCGCTCAGTCATGTCTGACTCTTTGTGACCCCATGGACTGCAGCACACCAGGCACCAGGCTTCCCTGTCCTTCCCTATCTCCCAGAGCTTGTTTAAACTCAGGTCCATTGAGTCGGTGATTCCACCCAACCATCTTGTCCTCTGTCGTCCCTTTCTCCTCTGGCCCTCAATCCTTCCCAGCATCAAGGTCTTTTCTAATGAGTTGCTTGTTCACTTCAGGTGGCCAAAGTACTGGAGCTTCAGCATCAGTCCTTCCAATGAATATTCAGGGTTGATTTCCTTTAGGATTGACTGGTTTGATCTCCTTGCAGTCCAAGGGACTCTCAAGAGTCTTCTCCAGCACCACAGATCAAAGGCATCAATATTATTCAGCTATAAAAAAGAATGCATTTGAATCAGTGC